TTATTGAGGGAGGAATATTTAAGAAAATAAATAAGAGAATAAAAACAAATGTGCTATATTCCAACCACTCAAAATTAACTCCTGTTAATATTTTGGCATATTTGCTTCCATGTCCTTTTTGATGTTCCTACTATTTTTAAAAACATTGCTCTCTGTCTCACTGTCTCTCTCCATCTTTTTGTCTCTGTCTCTGTCTCTCTCTCTGCCTGTAGACACATATATATGCACATACATATATACTTCTTTAAAAAATATTGGAACATTAAGTTAATGCTAAAATTTCTTTTAAAAGTTATCCCTCTTGGTTCCCAGAAGTAATCATTATTTTAATTATTGTTATTATTATTTTGATACAGGGCCTCACTCTATCACCCAGGCTGGAGTGCAGAGGCAAAATCATGGCTCACTGCAGCCTCCGGCTCCTGGGGTCAACTGATCCTCCTGCTTCAGCCTCCCAAGTAGCTGGGACTACAGATGTGCACCATCATGCCCAGTGAATTTATTATTTATTTATTTATTTATTTATTGAGATGGAGTCTCACTCTGGCACTCAGGCTGGAGTGCAGTGGCGCAATCTCAGCTCACTGCAAACTCCATCTACCGGGTTCAACTGATTCTTTGCCTCAGCCTCCCAAGTAGATGGGATTTACAGACATGCGCCACCACGCCCAGCTAATTTTTGTATTTTCAGGTTTTACCATGTTGGCCAGGCTGGTCTCAGACTCCTGACCTCAAGTGATCCACCTGTCATGGCTTCCCAAAGTGCTGGGATTATAGGTGTGAGCCATCACACCCAGGCCCCTGTGAATTTATTATTTTAAACTTGGTAAGTATTGTTCTATTCCATTTGCTATACTTTTATATACATATGCAAATAAAAGAGATCTTTGGCTCCTTGCCCAATGCCAATCTGGGATCATGGTGGGGTGGTTATAGAATCTGCATGCCCAGATGGACATCTGAATTATAGTTTAGGCTAAGCTGAGAGCCTCACCAAAAAGTACATGCATACAACCATTTTTTCAGTGAGCAAATTGTTCCTATCCCATAAGATAAAATTAAATACATTATTATGTCACAAAGAACATCATGATTTTCCAGTATTTTGTCCTCAATAAGTAGGAAGACCATTGCTCTGTCACAGGGGTTGAGAAAAATATTAAGTGAGAACCCATAGATATCAGGTAATGATCAATGCGTTAAAAATGAAATCAAATATAAGAATAGAGGTGAGGGTGCCTAAGTGGGTGAGGGAGGTCTCCAAAGAGGTGACCTTCAACGTGAATACAATGAACACTGTGAACACAGTGTGGGAGCGAGCCGGAAAATGTCAGGAGAGCAGAGCAAATCTGTGCAATGTGATATTTGACATGAAATGCCGCACTAGGGCCCTGTGGTTCATGTTACAACCTCATCTCCTGAGGAAGAAATGCTAATGGTCAGAAATGGGTGCATTTCCTTCACCAGCTACCTGAGCAGCAGAAAGTAAGGGGCCTCAGTCAGTACATGGTTTGTTAGATTATCAGAAGCTTTAACCAGGGGTGACTTAGCGGACTATGCAGGGCTGTTAGAACTTCTGGGGTCCTGAAAAAATTTGCCAGGAGTTTGTCTTTGCTACACTTAAACCTCTCTTGGCTGGGCACAGTGGCTCACACCTGTAATCCCGGCATTTTCAGAGGCTGAGATGGGTGGATCACCTGAGGTCAGGAGTTTGAGATCAGCCTGGCCAACATGGTGAAACACCCTCTCTACTAATAATACAAAAATTATCTGGGCATGGTGGTGCACACCTGTAGTCCCAGCTACTCAGGAGGTTGACAAGGGAAAATCCCTTGAACCCAGGAGATGGAGGTTGTGGTGAGCCGAGATGGTGTCGCTGCACTCCAGCCTGAGTGACAGAGCAAGACTCCATCTCAAAAAAAAAAACAAAAACAAAACAAAACAACAACAAAAAAAACCAACAAAAGAACAAATCACCTCTGTCTGAGCCTTTTGCTCCTCTGGGTCCCCAGAGCACTCACACTGCCCAAGGCCATGCCAACCTGCCCAGGCATTTCTGGTGGATACCTGGTGTGTTCTGGCCCAGCACTCCTCCCTTTTTTGGGGAATGGCACCTCTTTTCTTCTGGGGCGTGTTCTTCTCCCCACTGCAAACATGTGGTTCCAAAGGAGCTGCCACGTTATTACATATCCTGCCCTTTGGCCACATTCATGAGTCTTTGGGTGGGCACATGACCAAAACTGGGCCAGTTAGAATACTTCATGCACTGACCACAGAGCATTCCACCATCTGGTCAAGGCTAGGTCAAACCACAAGCCAAGTTAATCAGCATCCATCCCCAGGATTTTTTCACTTGGAGCCTAAGGAAAGTAATTCAGTCTCTGTTTAGGAACAACGTTGTAAGCACTGAGGCAGGGGAACTGTTGACAGTCCTGCTCCTTGCTGTGAAGGAAGCTGTGCTGAAAGAATGAAGCCTCATGCTGAGAGATAAGGAAGAGAGTTAGTGGTACTGGAGCTCCTGCTTCCAGATATCCTGGAATTCCAACTTCCCCTCTGCAATGATGAAAGGCTGCCAAAAAATTTCCCCCTTTGCTTAATCCAACTGTGCTCAATTTCTTTCATGATAATACAAATCCTACTATCAATGCCTTCCTCCCCATTGCCCTAAGTTCTAAAATTGCCCTCCTGCACCCCAGCTTCCTAAATAAAATTCTTCCTCAAGGTGATAGGCCAAAGTAATCTGATTGGCTTCCTGAAGCAATTCATCCTGAGTTATGGACAATTTAGAAGGTTCCCTGTGTTGATAATGGGGTAGACCACACAGGAGTTGGGGCAGGGGGTATATGGGAAATGTCTGTACCTTTTAAATTTTGCTATGAATTTAAAACTGCTGTTTAAAAAGTCTTAAAAGAAAAGCTTCCCAGCAGCTCTGGCCTTAAGATTGAACCACTTTATGACCAAGCAATTCTACTCCTGGGTCCATAACCAAGAGAATTGGAAAAAAATGTATATCCACACCAAAACTTGTATATAGTGCTCACTTTAGCCTCACATACATGATTAGGTTGGTGCAAGTAATTGCGGCTTCAGACCATGAATTTTAAACCATTATAACTCAGTTCAAACACATCTTTTTTCTTTCTTTCTTTCTTTCTTTTCTTTTTTTTTTCTTTCTTTTTTTTTTTTTTTTTTTTTTTTTTTTTTTTTTTTTTTTTTTGAGATGGAGTCTTGCTCTGTTACCCAGGCTGGAGCGCGGTGGCACGATCTCGACTCACTGCAACCTCTACCTCCTAGGTTGGAACAATTTTCTGGCTCAGCCTCCCGAGTAGCTGGGATTATACGTGCCTGCCACCACGCCTGGCTAATTTTTGTATTTTTAGTAGAGACGGGGTTTCACCATCTTGGCCAGGCTGGTCTTGAACTCCTGATGTCATGATCCACCTGCTTCAGCCTCCCAAAGTGCTGGGATTACAGGCATGAGCCACTGTGCCCCGCCGCAAACAAATCTTTTTCATCAAAATAGGAACCATTACAGTCGACATACTTTTGTCAACAAATAAGTTTGTTTATTCCTGTAGCATAAAAATACGTGCTTCAGGATTCCATAAACTCTTGGAAAACATTTTTCTGCATCCTACTGGTTGTGGAAGCATTTTTTTCTGCAAAAAGTTGTCGAGATGCTTGAAGAAGTGGCAGTCAGTTCACAAGAGATCACGTGAATACTGTAGATGAGGCAAAAGTTTGTAGCTCAATTTGTTCAACTTTTGAAGCATTGGTTGTACGATGTGAAGTCGCAGGAGATGAGGTTGTCATGGATAAGAATTGGGCCCTTTTGGTTGGCCAATGCCAGCTGCAGGCGTTGCAGTTTATGTTGCATCTCATTGATTTGCTGAGTATACTTCTCAGATAACAGTGGTTTCCTCGGGATTCAGAAAACTGTAGTGGATCAGACCGACCGCAGACCAGCAAACAGTGACCATGACCTTTTTCTGGTGCAAGTTTGGCTTTGGGAAGGACTTTGGAGCTTCTTCTTGGTTCAGCCACTGAGCTGGTCGTTGCTGATTGTCGTATAAAATCCACTTTTCCTGTAATCCCAGCACTTTGGGAGGACAAGGTGGGCAGATCATGAGGTCAAGAGTTTGAGACCAGCCTGACCAACATGGTGAAATCCTGTCTCTACTAAAAATACCAAAGGTAACTGGGTATGATGGCACGCACCTGTAATCCCAACTACTCAGGAGGCTGAGGCAGAAGAATTGCTTGAACCCAGGAACTGGAGGTTGCAGTGAGCCGAGATTGTGCCATGGTACTCCTGAGTGACAGAGTGAGACTCCCTCTCAAAATAAAAAAATGAAAGAAAGAAAAGAAAAAGTCCACTTTTCATCACATGTCACAATCCAATCGAGAAATGGTTCATTGTTGCATAGAATAAGAGAAGAGAACATTTAAAAACAATGATTTTTTTAATTTTTATTTTTGCTCAGCTCATGAGGGACCCACTATTGGGCTTCTTCAGCTTTCCAGTTTGCTTCAAATACTGAATGACCATAGAATGGTTGACATTGAGTTCTTCGGCAACTTCTTGTGCAGTTGTTAGAGGACCAGCTTCGATGATTGCTCTCAACTGGTCATTATCAACTTCCGATGGCCAACCACGATGCTTCTCATCTTCAAGGCTCTCGTCTCCTTCACAAAACTTCTTGACCACCACTCCACTGTGCGTTCGTTCGTCAGCAGTTCCTGCGCCAGTTGCGTCATTGATGTTACAAGTTGTTTCCCCTGCTTTACGACCCATTTTTTGAACTCAAATAAGAAAATCATGCAAATTTTCTTTTTGTCTAATGTCATTTCCATAGTCTAAATATAAAATAAACAGCAAGTAATAAGCCATTAGTGAAAAACAAAAGTGAGAAATGTGCATTAAAATGATGTATAACATAACCACATTTATTTAAGAATGTATTCCAATATCAAACAGCAAATTTCAACACTGCAACAACCGCAATTACATTTGCACCAACCTAATAAAATTGGAACAATACAGAGATTAGCATGGCCCCTGCACAAGGATCACATGCACATTCGGAAGGCGTTTCATATTCTTCATTAAAACTTCTTTCACCTAAAAAAAAAACTTATACACAAATGATCATAGCAGTATTGTTCATAATAGCCAAAAAGTGGAAACAACCCAAATGTCCAACAACAGATGAATGCATTTAAAAATATGGTTATTTATACAATACAGTCTTATTCGGCCATAAAAAGGAGTAAAGCACTGATACATGCTACAGCGCAGAACCTTGAAAACATCATGCTTATTGAGAGAAGTCACTCACAGAAGATCATGTTTTGTATGGTTACATTTAGATGAAATGTTCAGAATAGGCAAATCCATAAAGACCTAATGTAGAAGATTAGGGGATGGGGGAGGAGAGATAGAGAGGGACTGTCTTCTTTTTGAGATGGAATCTTGCTCTGTTGCCCAGGCTGGAGTGCAGCAGTGTGATCTCTGCTCACTGCAACCTCCACCTCCCAGATTAAAGTGATTCTCCTCTCCGGCCTCCCCAGTAGCTGAGACTACAGGCATGTGTCACCACGCCAAGCTAATTTTTGTATTCTTAGTAGAGATGGGATTTCACCATGTTGGCCAGGCTGGTCTCGAACACCTGAACTTAAGTGATCCACCTGCCTCAGCCTCCCAAGTTGCTGGAATTACAGGCATGAGCCACTGTGCCTGGCCGGGTACAGAATTTCTTTTGGGGGTAATAATGTTCTGGAATTAGATAGTGACGGCTGAACAACCTTGTGAATATATTTAAAAACCACTGAACCTTACATTTTTAAATGGTGGATTTTATGGTATGTAAATTGTATGTAAATTTTTTAAAAAAGAAAAAAGGATTGAGTGATTTGTTGACTCTCCTGGTAAGATGTAAAGGAGAGATATTTTTGAGCAGGGGTAGCTCCCATTGCTCCTTCTCTACTCAGTGCTCATGCCCTTCAGTGAAGCAGAACAAGAGAAGCAGGATTTGACAAGGGGCCTGACACTTGCATCAGACCCAGGGGTTTCAAGGCACTTACTGTCAAGAACTAGGATAAAATAGGGCCCATTTTTTCTCAATGATAGGTAAAAGGTTAATGGATATCTATTTCTCAATGTTAAGATTTTCACCCATAGTATATCTTAAAATGTTGGTGCTGCTTCTACTTGTCTGTTGGAGAGTGTTAGTGCAATGCTTAGTACATCCATAGAGAAATGGGTCTCAAGAGAGAACACTAGAAGGCAGACCTATTTGGCAAAACTCAGTTTTGTTTTTGTTTTTTAGAGATAAGGTCTCCCTGCTCTGTCACCCAGGCTGGAGTGCAGTGGCTCCATCACAGTTCACTGTAGCCTTGGACTCCTGGGCTCAAGTGATCTTCCTGCCTCAGTCTCCCAAGTAGCTGGGACTACAGACACACACCACCACACCTGGCTGATATACACACAGACAGGTTCTTGCTATGTTGCCCAGACTGATCTCAAGCTCCTGACCTTGAGCAATCCTCCTGCCTCAGCCTCCTAAAGTGCTGGAATTATAGGTGGGAGCCACTGCGACTGGAAGCCAACCCTAGTTTTGAGGTTATAGGCAGAGCTTCCACTAGACAAAATTAGGAGGCAGGTGACATTTGTCTTCAGAGCCTGCCATCTTCCCTTGAAGTGGGGCTCAGTGCTCTCTTACACACCCTTTATCTCACTGGGAATCTGAGATCCTGTTCTTTGATGACTCATCCTTGAAACTGGTTTATTATAGCCCTACTTTAAAACTTTAGTCTGTAGAAAACATTCACATAAGTACACAAAGACACATGTATAAGGATGTTCATGGTATCATTTCAGTTACAGTTTCCAATCAGAAACAACCTAGATAATTGCTAATAAGAGAAATACTGTGCTTCTGGTAAACAAACCAACCTTCTCACAGAGGGTTTGTATCACAGAACATGCTCAGGGAGAAGCCCCCTCCTAAATTAACTGATGCGAGTGGACGGCAATTGGGATTCGGTAGTAGTGGGTAAGCCCACCTGGAGGCTGATGAAATACAAGCTGGTTTGCTGCTTTGAGATTTTGATTATTTTTTCCTTTTCCTGCAATACACTTTCCTTCTACCTACTCCCATTCCAAAATCTGACATGAGCACAACTTTCAACATTATGTTGCTCAAATGCCACTCTTGATACACTTTTCTCTTCCCCACTCAGCTAAGGGCTTGGTGTCATTCATTTTTGAAACTCTGTCATTTAGCAGACTGCCTGGGATATAGCAGAAGAGCGAGAAATATTTTCTTTTTTTTTTTTTTTGAGACGGAGTTTCGCTCTTGTTACCCAGGCTGGAGTGCAATGGCGCGATCTCGGCTCACCGCAACCTCCGCCTCCTGGGTTCAGGCAATTCTCCTGCCTCAGCCTCCTGAGTAGCTGGGATTACAGGCACACGCCACCATGCCCAGCTGATTTTTTGTATTTTTAGTAGAGACGGGGTTTCACCATGTTGACCAGGATGGTCTCGAACTCTCGACCTCGTGATCCACCTGCCTCGGCCTCCCAAAGTGCTGGGATTACAGGCTTGAGCCACCGCGCCCGGCGAACAAAATAATGAATAACTGAATCTACCTCTTCCAAACATATTAAGTATTCCACTCCCTGTGAACCCACAGCACTTTATTTGTGTCTCTCTTTTGGTGTTATGACTTTCTACCTTGTGTTGTGATTTATTTGTGTGACTCTTTGCCTCTCTACTGGAATGAAAGCCTTTTGTGGGCAGAAACCACATAACACCACGCATAGTGCTTTGTGTATAAGTATGCAATTAACATTTATTTCAGTTTAGCAAAAAAATTTTTTTTTTTGAAAAAATTTATTAGGATCTCATAAATATGAGAAGTAAATGTATGTATGCTAATACAGATGAAGGAATATAAAAAGAACTTTATTTCCATAATGCTGTCATCCTCGAGCCACTAGGGATATTCTGAGGTTTAGGCTTACTGATTTATGCACACAGGGCCCAGCAGCCTAAGCAGCTCAATCAGCTCTTCCTTTCTCCTTCCTTCAGGCCTCTCCTCCAGCTAATGATAATTTTGACTTTTACGCTATAAGGAAAACCAGTGCCTGGAAAAGTCAGAGGGTGACTTCAGTTTAAACAGCAAGTCAACTGCAGAATCAATAATAGATCTGCCCTCTCAGCCTCCTCTGGCATGGACCTTCTCCGACACAAGCCCTGGTCTTGGGAATGTAGTAACCGATGATTCCCATATTTAGGTGTCACATCAGAAGAGAAGCTTCTTGTCAGTTCTACTCCTTTCCCTACATTTGGTATGCAAGGGAGCTTCTCTGAGACCTTAGGACCCCAGTGTATGCCTGTTTTATATTTCAGACTCTTCTTAATGGCTTGTGAGCCTGTCACAGTCTCTGTTAGCCTGGGGTAGGGCATAATTATCTTTGTCTTGTGGGAAGAACTCTGTGGCATAAGTTACTTAATATTCAGAGAGCAATTTGCAGGTACTCAGCTTAGTCACAAAGTCTGCTTAATGATGCTGAACACAAAAGTCTGGATTGTCTATTTCCAAGCTGTTATCCAGACTGGCTAAATGACCCATCTTCCCTCTTGCCTGAGCTCCAAGAGTAGCTGGAGTTTGGGGCCCAAACTGTGCAACCACGGTCAGCTAGACCAGGGTTTCTTTTCCTGAGCACTATCAATATTTAGGCCAGATAATTCTTTGCTTTGGGGGTTGTCCTGGGCACGGTAGGATTTTTAGCAGCATCCTCGGTCTCTATACTAGATGCCCATAGCATCACTCCTCCCCAACCAGTCGTGAAAACCAAAAATGTTTCCAGATATTGCCAGTGTCCCCTGAAGAGCAAAACTGCCCCCATTTGAGAACTGCTAACTGTGGACTCTGAGCTACTTGCTCACTATCCTCCAGACCAGAGATGGACAAGATGGATGTTTCCAAACTTCTCCTACCCAGATTCCGCAGACTGAGTGCTATCTTCTGTCTTTGAGCATTAGCTTTGACTATCCCTTCATTTGCCTGATAGTCAGTGGTCTCCTGGTTGCTTGAGTCACTTGGTCTCATTTCCTTCTGGCCTTGGATGACCCCACTGCTGTCCTGTTTTACCTCACAAACTGGACTAACAAAAACAGTGTACTTTCCCAAAGCCCAAATTTGCCATATTTATTCAATAACCATTTATTATTATATATTTTGCTGGAGTGACATGCTAGGATAAACTAGAGATTGTGGGGTTTATTGGCTAGAATTATATTTCTTTTTTTTTTTTTTTTTTGAGACGGAGTTTCGCTCTTGTTACCCAGGCTGGAGTGCAATGGCGCGATCTCGGCTCACCGCAACCTCCACCTCCTGGGTTCAGGCAATTCTCCTGCCTCAGCCTCCTGAGTAGCTGGGATTACAGGCACGAGCCACCATGCCCAGCTAATTTTTTTGTATTTTTAGTAGAGACGGGGTTTCACCATGTTGACCAGGATGGTCTCGATTTCTTGACCTCGTGATCCACCCGCCTCGGCCTCCCAAAGTGCTGGGATTACAGGCTTGAGCCACTGCGCCCGGTCTAGAATTACATTTCATTGCAAGTGACAGTTGCCTGAACAAGATAGAAATTTATCCCATGTAGAAGTCCAGAGTGAGACAGGCCAGAACTGGTGTGGTGATCTTGTTCCATGAAGTTGATCTGGGCCTGAGTTCTCTTTTAATATCACTCCATGATCCAAGATAACTGCTCACCCCCAGCCATCAGCTCCAACACCAAGCCATCAGGAGGAAGAAAAGAATGGAGAAAAAAAGCGAAATTAAGAAAGGTTCTTGAAGACTGCTATATAGTACTTACGCTTGCATCTCATTTGCCTGAATTTAGTTACCAGACCACACCTGTCTGTAAGGCAGGCTGAGGAAGTTTCATTCAATGGAGTTTCACTCCTGTTGCCCAATCTGGAGTGCAATGATGTGATCTCGGCTCACTGCAACCTCCTCCTCCCAGGTTCGAGGGATTCTTTTGCCTCAGCCTGCCCAGTATCTGGGATGACAGGTGTGCACCATCACGCCCGAC